ATTATAGATCCCCTTATGTGTCATATTATGGAAGATCCTGTTACCCTTCCCGGATCTAACATAACTATTGATAGAAGTACTATCACTACACATCTTTTAAGTGATTCTACGGATCCGTTCAATAGAAAACCGCTTTCCATTGATCAAGTAATACCTAGTAAGTATATTTTTAAACAATGCTTTCTTTAAAAGCTTTTAATTTATTAATTTTTTCCACATAGATGTTGAAATGAAAGAACGAATTACTGCATATAAATTAGAAAGAAAGCAAAAGAAGTCTCAGTAGTTTGTTTATACATTTTATTTCTGTATTACTATTTATTTGCATGACTAAATTTGATGAATTTTTTTTGATTTTTAAACTGTGATTCGATATGTGATATACGTAAAAATGAAATTTTTTTCTCTAAATATCTTGATTTTATTTTCTCACTCATTTTCGAGACCAGATAGAGAACGGCATAATTGAATTTAACATATATATATATATATATGTATATATTCATTATACTTTTTGCTTATCTATAAATCTTAAGAATTTGATTTGCTTAATAAGTTAAATTTTAGAAATGAAATGAAAAAGAAACGCAACAGATAAATTTATTAATAAAATATGAAACTTTTTCTCGCAAGAATGAGGGGAAGCGCCAAGCTGTCAAAGCCATCACTTTGTGAAGAAATGGTCTGATAGGGATGCATGAATTTATACATATATTATCGTCAAGGACTTTTGACCACATTAAGGGTCAGGATAGGATAATGTTTCTGTCCTCGAAAATTATTTAAGAAAATGCATTCTAAAAAAGATTAAAATTTTCAATGAACTAAATTCAAATTTACATAGGAGAAAATAATATAATGTGATGAGAATTTTACAAACGGGTAATTATAAATAAGATCAATTTATACTGTATATCGTCACCATCATCACAAAGCTGTACATAAAATTGTTAAATAAATCAAAAATTCACATGCGAACTCGGAGTTATTGAGTGTAAATACATGATCACAATTCTCTAGATTCTGGTAAATCAAATGATGACTTGATTCTCGCTTCAAAAGAAGTCATATTAAAATTTCACATCTCTTTGTAGCTCAATAGCTTGAGAAGTAAAAAGAATCAAGTATAAGGCATACCATTTGATTTCCTAGGTTCTTGGCAATCAAATAGTGAACTTTACACTCAATGAGTCTAGAGAGAAGCTCAATATCTTGAGATTTAGTGATGGAAAATTGAGTGTAAGCCATTATATTCGATTCCCTAGATTTTGATGAATTGAATGATGGGCTTTGCACTTGATTGGTTCTCGGACGTTATGCTTTAAAAAAGTCATCAAAATGCCACATGATCTTTTTAAACCTCAATATCTCCAGAGTCAGTAAAAAAATCAAGAGTAAGACTGAACATAGAATTTACTCATATTTAGTTTGTATCTTGCGATTTGATTGGTTAACTTCATTGATCATGTGATAGAAATTAACCAATCAGAAATTTGACATACATGATCTGACACGCAGTTTAAAATTATGTTGTAAATATGTTTTTTCTATCATTATAGACAAAGCAAAAAAATTTTTTCTCATGCTTTACATATAAAGAATTGAAATTTTCAAACTACAAAAAAATTCAGAATTTTATTTTTATTATAATTTAATGAAAAATTATTTAAATTGTATAAAAATTTAAAATATATCCTTAAAGACTTGAGAAATAAGATTACTTAATAAAATTTTTAATAGTATTTATTGATATTATCTTTAAATTTCATTTTGAATATTCAAAAAAATATTTTAAAAATTTATTACACTAAATTTTTAATATAAAAATCTGTTTGAAAAATGATAATTTTTATATATAAAAAATATTTTTATTTATTATACAATAAAAATTTATAAGTATTTTCTTTATAATCTAAAAAAAATTCACTTAAGCTTTCTTTATAAAATAACTTAATAAAATTATTTTTTTAAAAATTATTATCTAATGCAAATTTTTTGAAAATTTTTTTTATATTTTAAATTTAAATTAAAAATTAAAATAATAAATAATTTTTATTCAATTTTATGTCATTTTTTTCTTAAGTTTTCAAAAATATATTAGTAAAATTTTAAATTATTTAAATAATTATTTATTGATTTGTAGTTAAAAATTTCATATTAATTTTTTTTTGGACCAGACTGTATATACATATTCACATTTCTTTTAGTAATTATTTCTAACTTTTATACCATTTTAAATTTAGTTTTCTAAAAAATGATTCCTAGCTGTAAACAACTTAAGACGCAACTGTTTTAATCTATAATTTCAAATTGGACGATACTCTCTCTGTGGGTACTTGTACAAAAAATTCAAAAAAATTATATCAGACAAAGAAATATAAAATTAAGCAATATTATAATCAGTAATTTGAATCACTTAAATTAGATAAAATAGAAAATGTAATACATAATTCATATGTAATTATTCAATAAATGCTTTCTTTTAATTAATTATATAATTCTTTTTTTATTAATTGATATTATTTTATTAAAGTCTGAAAAATTCACCGAATTCCGAATCTGAATCATTTTCATCAAATTTTATCACGGATTCCGGCAAAATGGAAGCATTATTTAGTTCTGAAGGTGTTGATGGAACTGGACTTGCCATATTCAACACATCATCCACGATACATTTTGCCGCTTCCTTAGCAGGCGTTTTAAGTAATATAGATGGTGGAACTGAAAATTGAATCGTGACTGGCGGAGACATATCCGGATACTCGGAATTTGTTGAGGTGATTGAGGCAGGTGGTCGGGGATATGGTGTACCCTTACTACTTCGACTAGCAACAATTTTCGGAGTGAAATTAGTATCCAAAGAATCAGGGGTTGGTACTTGTCGTGAGAATGTGCGTCGGAATAGACGAGGCATTTTTTCGGAATTAAAGGGTGTAGAAAATCCAACTGGCGTAAAAAAATTTTCTTTTGAGCCTGAGATTGGAGTTTGATGCTGATTATTTAAACTAGGAGGTGGGAAAGACGTAGAAGAGATCGATGAGACAGCAACACTATGTGATTTTGACACTTTTGAGTCATTGCTTTTTCTGCCAAACAGAGATATCGTCGATTTTCGGGAATCTGGTGAAGAGTCAGTGACAGCACCAGAATTTAAATCCAGAGATTCGAAAAATGATAACCAAAGCTATTTATTTATAAAAATAGGCAAAAATGATATTCACTATACAACCAGTTTAACAATACCAAATTATTTCAATTATTAGAAACTACTATTTATTAATTCAAAGA